CTTCAATATGAATTTATCAGAGCAGTTCGGAGAGACTATCGGTTGTAGTTTTCTGACTCTTTTCATTATTAGTGGCCACAGAGTTGAAAGAAGATGAGGGGCCTGTCTGTGGATTAGTATTAACAGAAGGAGAAAGTTAAGATACTGGAGGCGACGTAGAAAAAGGTGGGTTATGAACCAGGAGAGCTTTGTGTGCCTTCGTAAGCGTGTGGACTGTTGTTACTTCCCAGCTACCCACACCGTGGGAGTTGATTTTTTCTTGGGGTACCTGCAACAGAAAGGGCATTAGTATTGCGTAACAGCAGATCCCAGAGGACAACTGCTTGAGGTCGGTCGCACACGGCCTATCTGAATTGATTTTTAGAGTAGTGTCTATTCATATCTTACCACTGGCTACGGACCACCATAAGTTAAGTCTGGATGGATGATTTTCTAACTTCCCTTCTCTTCAAAGCAGAGAGGCAGCATACCTGATATACTGGTTATATCCCTGTTCTCTAGAGGTAAAACTTCGCCCACAAACCCTCAACATAGTGTAAAATCTACACTATGACAGCAACAGCCTTTAATCTATTTGTCATCCAAACAAACTTCGTGGCACTGTCGGACCTGCAGCAACATTAGTTCCAGCCAGTGTAGCTCGTCGGATCATTGCGTTATGCAAACCGGACAACCTTTTGATGTGGTTTTGTTCTCTGAGCTGGATAGTTAGTTTGCGCAAACTAACTATCCAGCTCAGAGAACAAAACCACATCAAAATTATCCACCTGAGCTACAAATCTTCTCTATCATATCTAAACCGGACAACCACTTCAAGGTGGCTGCTATCGGTTGGTCCCAGGAATACCTCTCTCTAACAAACAGTTCCACAGACTAGTCCTGTCCAACGAATCAAGGGCAGTCCTAATGCCAATAAAAACGATGTGTTGGCCTGCAAAACGAGTGATGATCTAGAAACTGATGAAGAGTGAGCACACGGTACATCCATGGCCTGGATTAAAGCCAGCCTGCTCTTCACGAATCAATTCCCCACGTGATTTTGCACAGCTTCCAGACAAGAGAGCAGCCAATATTTTAGACGTCACTAGTTGCATATTAGTACACCTACGATAGTCAAACATAGTTACCTTCATGTACCGGAGTTGTCCTCACAAAAGTAAAAGAGAGAATGTAAAGACCTGACGCTTACAACCGGAGTGTTGGACAGACAACTCGTCAATATGCTTCAATTCAAGCTGTATACAGTCGACCAAATATTAAAAATAAATTCATGTTGAATAGATTCTAGCTCTGTTATTCTTGCAGTATTTAAGTTCCCAAGTGAGGAAAACTCATTATTTCACACTTATGAAGCATTGATAGAGAAAATAACAAATTCGAAATTAGACTTATGAGAATACACCGTAGTATTGAAGAAATTGTCTTCAGAGCTATCGGAGGCTAAGTTGCAAGGAAATTACGCATAATCTAAAATATTTCTAGTGTTTTTAAGCTAGTGATACTATTGCGTGCATAAAATGGTCTTATATATATATATATATGGCCTGCTAGTCGAATATTATGTTTTGGATCGGTCACGTTGGGGTTTCAAGTGTTAAATCCAGTTACTTACTGTTTCTAAATAAAAAATAGTTTGGCACCTGATTTCAACCTAATTTCGATTGAAAGCAGTACTACCGGTATGCCTTTAGAATCCCATAAGCTTAATCTTTGGAGGCAATTCATAAGTCATATTCACCACTCAACCTTTATAATACGCAACAATAATCTGTCGTAACATATACACCATTTCTGCTTTTCTTATTTTCATATTGCAAAAAAATCTTGTTCCCAAACTGATATCTGATAAACCCTCCCTTAGTTATTCCAAAATTACTAGTGACCTATGCACAGTGTCGGAAGTAAAGACATGACCGCTGTGTATTGCTTAAAATTTTCAATTTACAAATTGGTGCTATTCCCACCTGAGTGGACCATTGCTAAGAATAGATTTCAAACTAATCAGGTAAATTTTCAGATGGTTATGAGGGTCTGTCTGTTTCGACATAGAACTTTGCACAAATGTGCGGAAGTTCAAGTCGCCACATTCCGTGTAGCACGCGAAGCAAGAGAAGAAAGTACAAGAAAAGCATAATAGAAACAGTGAGCAGAGGTGTGAGACAAAGGAGTAATAAAGAAATACAAAACAATTTCATTGAAGATCATAAGTCACAGGGAGTGGATGCATCTGCGCCACTGAGAACGATTTTGAGCCATGTCACCAATTGTTTCCAACCATAGATTTTTTTTTGGGGATTGAGTAGCGTCAGAGTATTTTTCACCCTCATAACCAACCAAAAAAATCTATGGTTGGTTATGAGGGTGAAAAATACTCTGACGCTACTCAATCCCCAAAAATGAAGTGACCTTATGATCTATAGCCAAAAAGATGAGTGTCAATGGCTTAGATAGATAAGTCACAGCCTTAGTCTTGAATGGCTGATGATTCAGACTATCTCACGAAATAGATTTTAAGCACGTTGAAGCTGTAAATGGTCTCTGATTCAATAATATTACTTTATTTTTAAAAGTCATTCCTAGGTCTAAAGTATATTCTTCCAACATTACCTTCTGAGTGATTTATTTCATGTGTACCAACCATCAGGGATAAATATATGACTGAAGTGATTGGCTCATATCTAGTCGCTTCATTTTTGCCTTTTATACTTCTCCAAAGCATGGCGACAGTTGAAATCATACAGATTTGTGCACGATCATCTCGCTGACTTTCATTTCTAACATGTAAATCTAGGTTGTCTTACTGAGAGAACCAAATCAGTAGTTGAGGATTTCGGGTTATGCAACTGAAGTCTCAATCACATTTATAAGCTGTCCTTGTTTTATTAGCAACATCAAATCCATTTCTTTTCTTACAGAGTTGTAGGCATTCATATTAGCCTGTAAATGATTTCAAGATGTGAGATGTCGCGACTTGGTCTTAATCCTATGTTGAAAGTACTTTTGTCAATTCCCAGTAAAATCTAAAGAAATTTGGATTCATTCATACCGCCTTTAAAAATCCTTCCCCATCATAATAAATGTATTTTCCAATCATCCCTTTCGGTTGATTAGAAGATGCTAACTCTCCCCTTCTCCCGAAAATTCTACTTTACGAACCCACCCATGTTTCTCAGCCCCACTCACTTCAAACGTTGATGTACAGCAGCAAGAAATGACTAGCCTACTTTATGTAAGACCTCACATCAAACTTACATGTTTCTTACGTGATAACCAAACCACAAGTTGCTGAGCATTTCACACTAGTGCCAAGGTCTTCAAAGCATAGTCGATTTTACATGTCGAGTAACTGAAGTAGCAGTCAACAGAATAGAGAGCGAGGTCAATAACTCAGTTGCGTAAGAGGTGATGTACTAGGGTATGAGTCAAGCTATCAAGTCTACAAGAAAACACGTGAAACAGATAGTTGTGCACTGCCATCTAGAACTTTCACTTTCGGCGACACCATCTATAGAAAAAGGACGGTATTGCAATGGGATCTCCCTTGGGTTCATTACTGACAGACTATTTCATGGCCAGCCTAGAGAATGGTCCATCAAATTGACAATTTACAGATGTACAGACGGTAGGTAGATGACATTTTCATCATTTGCGACAATAGCTGTGATCAGTTGCTACAAATATTTGACAACTGCCATCCAGCACTAAAATCCACTCTAAAAAATGGGAAACGAATCCAAATCCCCTTTCTTGAAGTGGAACTAACAAGACGACCCGTCGGAACTTTAAGACGGTCAGTCCATAGAAAACCCAATTGGAACGGTCGACTAAAAAGTTTCTATAGTTGAATGCCCGTTGAACGAAAACAAAATCTACTTAAATTCCTTGCCACTCCAAGCCGACGCATATGCAGTCCTGATGCCTAGTGGCAGAACTAGGTTTTCTGAAAGAAACCTTTATCGAAAACGAATACCCACCAAGAGTCATCGACAAGAACATCATACAAAAAGTCCAGAGGAACGAAAAATAACTTGTCCCAGAAAAGAAACTCTACACGAACCTGAATTTCAAGTTAGACTTAACCCGCAATATCCTTGGGAATAATTTCAGTATACTTGGGATGAACCTTCTCGGCAGCAACGCTGAGTGGTGTTCTCGAGTCGTCGGTTGGTGTCTGCAGAAGCCTCAAGGACAATATCTCGCATCTGACCACTTCTATGTGCGTATATCATTCCACCTGTTGCTGTGGAGCCAGATTCGTTGGTCGTTCGATGCGCATCCTGTTCAAAAGGATTCAAGAACATTATCCCGCATGGCTAAAAATAGATAGTAGTGGCTCTATAAGGACTGCGATCATTAAACATCTTTTTAACATTGATCATTCGATCTCAACAAACGCCTCTTTCAAAGTAATCTACGAAGTAAAGAATAACCCATAAAGGCAATACACCCTCGTCTCCTTTGTATTGCTGAAGCCTTAGCGATTCAGTTGGAAAAATCAGAGTTATGTATTCAACCATTTCTATCATGGCAACAACCATGTTGATTTCTGCTGACTTGGTGTTCGTGTGCTTGCTTCCCTGACTTCTGAAAACTCTCGTATTTCTTTAGAACTCTTACACAATAGCCTTCGTTTCTAAATACATCCTAATCACGACTCACTCATCAAATTACTCACCTTGTTACGTAACTACAATACACTTATCCAACGTTTTTATGCACTGACTAACACAACCGACTGTTTTTTTACAACTAATCACTATTACCCTCTTATTAACCTTCAACTACACTAGTTACGATCTGATCACTCATCCTATTTTTTGAAATATTTTGATGACGCAAATAACTGTAACTAATTTTTATTCCTACCTGACACACATACAGAAATAATTATATATAATTGCGAATGAATATATATATATATATTGTGAATGAATTCGCCGAAAAGAGACTTTTCGCTGAACTACGTGATTTTTTCATATTAGACTTAATCGATCCACATAAACGCAGCATTTCATGGAGCTATCCTATTATCCACATACTTGCCAAGTAATAAACCTTTCCTCCTAGTGATTATTAGGGAGTATTACAGTGGAGTGATGGCAATAATTTGAATATTTACGCAACATGATTACAGAAAACAACGAGCAAAATCTGTAGAGAGAAAAATTTATGAAAAGATGATGGTGTCATAGATTTAATACGTTTAGAACTATAGGTTTTTAGAATGCAAACATTTTGCGAAAAATATATATAGTTTTTCCTGGTTAACGAGCGGCAAATGAACCAGCTTCCTGATCTTCCTGCAGTTTTTGAAATGAGCGATTAACACCGACTGGATTAACTGGAATGAAATACCAAGCCCGATAGTCACCATGTTCATTCTGTGCTTTTCGAAACCATCTTTCCTCTTCACTATGAAAATAAATAAGTATACACAAAAGATACACCCTTATATTTTAAATCGAAAACAAAAATGAGTCTACACGGTAATTTATTTCACCTGTGCAACCCTTTTTCTATTTGACCAATAATGAATTTAAATCTATCTTCTGAATGTTTGTTGCTGATATCACAAACTTAACAGAGAATGTGCCATAAAAACGCTGTGTAAACTAATATAGCTTTGGAGATAGAAAAAAAGATATCCAAAGGATAAAAATAAGAAGCGGTATATTACGTAAATACATACCAGTAATTAATACTATCACTGTGTGCTACTGCCAAATAAATTTACTCTATGATGGAATTAAACTGGATCACAGTGCCCATGTTCTACTTTTATATTAATGTGACTGAGTTTGCAATGCAGAACACTGCACAGGAGCGCAGCAGTTCGTGTCACATTCCATATAGTACACAAAGGTAAAAGAAAGACTGAATTTAAATGAGCTTTAATGAACAGGAGAAAGAATAATTACAAAAAACACCAGGTTTTAGTGAATCTGGAAAAGTACAAAGAGTGAATGCATCTGCACCACTGAGATCAATATCGAGTCATACCACCAACAAGTTTATGCTATTGTTTCTTAGCATCTCGATAACACCAGTAAGGTAGTAGTCTACACCTCCTGAAGTGGCTGAAAGCAACGGTTAGAAACTTCATGGACTGACGCCAAGTTCTGATTTGCCCACGTCTAAACCTTTCTCAACCTAATCCTATCTCATCCAACATTGCCGGACGAAGAAGTCGGTAACTTGGAATGGGTAACACATATCATTTAGCCTCACAACCTCGCCGATTGACTTGTCCTCATCTAACATTCTACGCCCAACCTTAATATTACTCACTAAATTATGGCACTTAACACTACATAACCAGTGATATACGTCAGTCCGACGGGACTAACTTAGATGCACACATGTTGTCTAATATCTTAATCCACACATTAGTTGAATAAAGCAAAACGACAGTGGTTTGTGCAGAATAATATGGTACCATCATTTATTTCGCCGGCTTCTCATCACCTGCTTACAGCCTGAGTAAATTATGAGGATTACGTACAGAGAAGTTTTAACATACTTGCAAATTTCACATGTCAGTTAACAAAAAGTTCCACAATAAATAAACAGTGCTCAGACAATTGCGCTCATATAATTTTTTGGAACTTTTTGTCAACTGACATGTAAAATTTGCAAGTATGTTAAAACTTCTCTGTACGTAAATCTCATAATTTATTTAGGCTGTGAGCAGCTGATGAGAAGCCAACGAAATAAATGATGATACCATATTATTCTGCACAAACCACTGTTGTTCTTTATTATTTATTTATTATTAAATAATAAAACAACCAAATCGCTACAGAAACTTCAACGAATAAATATATTAAAAATTCTAAAAACATAAACTGTTGTTCTTTCTTTATTTAAATTCATCAAGGGGAATAAATGCATGAAGTTTCTCAAACACTAGTTCATGACGACCATCTTTAAACAACTTTCGTAGTCATACTATCAGATTTCGCTGCTTAACCCCGTCTCCAATTAGAGACAGCTTTTGCAACCTCAGTAACAACTGAAGGACGGATGTCTACATCCACACAGTAAGTGCTAGACACTTAGCGTGACTGCTACTTAACCATTACTTATACGTTACATAGAAACTCGATTATAATGCTGAATCAAGTTTGTTTCCAATTAAAGGATTAATCATTCAGTGTATCAAGAGTTGAACACAAGCCTGTATACGTTCATTAGAGAAAATTTGGCCAGTAACCAGTTATTATCCGGCATACATACGTCCTGTTGACTTTACAATTGTTAGGTGGTTGCAGATAGTCAACAGGAAACGCTAGAGCTAGATTTTATGCCTGCTGTCAGCCATCAGCAAAAAATATATGCAACCCGGAACTTTTGTCCTACAAAGGGCTCAAACTCGCATCACCCAGTGCTGCAGCTATAGACATTACCACTGGAGGTGAATAGCTCGGTGAGCACGAGACTTCCTGTTAGGACCTCTCGGTGATTCTACAGCTAATTGACATCAATTAAAACTACACAAGACAGTGAACCACCTAGCTCTGCGTCCATATTGCAAGCTTGATCGACAGAATTAGGCGAACACTAGCACTAGGAACGATATTAGACAAACCCAAGTGACCAATGTATTACTCACTGCGCTATTGAAACAACAAATTGGTAAATTAAGGATATCAAGAAATATGCTACACAAAATCCTAGTTTGTGCAAGCGCCGGCAAACTGCCCAGACAGAAGCAGGAGAGATTAATGTACATGTTCGAAAATAAAAGTCATTTAGACAGATCGTACGTATAGCAGTATTACAGAAACGATATCCGATAGTGACAAGAAAGGTATCAGTGTCTGCTATAACTACATAGATGAAAGCAGATTTCAATTTCTGCTATTATTTGTAACTTAAACTACTGTCTGTGAGGTGTCTGTAATCACATCAAAATACCTTTACATTTTACTTGAACAGGCCAGCACTTTACAGACACTTGACAACTGCTGTAAGCTTTGGAATTTTACGACGAAGATTTCCAGGGACCAAAACGGATACATTTTTAAACATACTGTGCGTCGGTGGCACAGCGGTTATGACTCTCGCCGATCATGCACATGATCCGGGGTTCGATCCCCTGTCGACGCACACCTGATATCTATGGTCGGCCTGCAAAATTTGGGCTACCAAAATCACATGCTGAAAATCTCATACCTGTACGAAAATATACGCTGTGAAATCAAGCTAGCTTGATTACAGCTGTAATCAAAAAACAACGATGCACATCAACTCACACTATTTCTTTTCCAATGCGATATTCGTCCAACTGTCCCATAGTTGCCTCATAGGCTCTTTGAGGGTTAACACTTATATACTTGGCGATGAAACGAGGTATTGGATACTGAAAATAAGCAAATACGAAACCTGAAGCTCACTTTGTGATATTCCCAATAATGAGGCTCATAACCATCCGGTATATCCGTTAACTCCGCCGGTCCAATAAATACATTAACAAAAAAGACAAGGAGAAATGTAGGGATGAGGCCCAACATCAAGTAGAAATGCTGAAATGGTAAATTATCACAGAATCTGCCTACCAATTCGTCAAAAAACCTGCGAAACATGTAATCTGACGCCTCCCTGGGCATTTTTTTATGCTCACTAGCATTTCTAAAAGGGCATGAAAACCCTAATACACATAGGATCATGAAAACCAAAAGGCATATGCTTACTAGGTTGTAAGGATGAACTTTTAAAGGACAAGCCGACGTTTGAGCAACTGTTCTTGATACTGCTATTCCTCTGACAACACACAAATCGAGGGCTAAAATGCCTTAAAGCAGCATTTCGAAGAGCATTGTACATTGTTAATAGCCGTTAAGCAAACAACCTTCAAGAACCGAATCACCCACCATCCAATATTCAATGTGCGTATCCAATATCGATTTTACGAGGTAGTACAAACCAATTTGATTTCTTTATGCTTGCCTCTTGATTGCGAGGCAAAAGTTTCTGATCTTCGATAAACTTCTGCGTAGTTCGTCCCGCCACTTTCACACAAACAACATAGCGAGGTAGTCGGTGTATCTCCGCTCATCCGCTATGTAAACCCATTATAAGCCAGCCCTATATGAATGCTCTACCAACTAAGTATTATGAAAAATCCCGTGAACAGAGGCTACAGACTACACTCAGGAGGCTTAATAAGCCCGTACAACGCCTTCATGAATCTTACGTATTAAGTAAGGAGCTTGTAAGGATCTCTGCACAGAAACCAGTCATGGTCTGATGACTACCCCAAACAGTTACCAAGGCTTAACTCCCATCCCGGCAACAATTTACCGAATACCCATATCGATTACAACTTCCAGAAAAGCTCTGCCCTGACTACCTGAATCAAACAGAAATTTCACCACTGTCAGTTGACGGGAATACCTGGGGTTGTAGCGGTAGGTAATTCCGCAGAATTATTGGCCGCAGCATTCATCATTGAACATTGGCTGCTGACCCCCACTGTTTTGGCAGATTCGTCTTGCTAAAGGTCTCCGGTCAAGCGTACACGCCACTTGGCACGCTACTGTATTACTTTCGTCCGTTCGTTCTTGAACGATCCCTAGCTAGTTAAGCAATCGGCTCGCACTCCGATTCGGTCCCAAAATATGATTCACAGTTTGGCCGATAGATTCCAGTGTGTTACTCTGCCTCTGATTTACGCGGAACGACTACTATAGAAGTTGTGTGTGTTAGATCTTTTGTTCGTACACTTCGTACCATCCGTGTGACACTTATTTCTAGGGAAAAATCCACATTTGCAGCTCACTTCACTAGCCCAATTCTGTCACAGCTCAGTGAATCGGACTGAGTCGAAATAAGAGCAGCCAGAAGCAAACCTTTACTTTTAGGTTGCATGTACCGACCCTGTCATTCAGCAGGAGGTATGATAACATAAGCAGCAATATTTGTAATGTTACAGCCAGTCTTCCCTTCAGTCATAAAACCTTTGGAGACGATGCCAATTAAATGGAGCTCTGCTGATTCCAAATGTGAGGGAGAATGAACATTGACAAAGATGTAACACCAGGGTTTATTAGATATGTGAGATTTCATAGAGTGAATGCATCTGTGTCATTAACAACGTTTTGGGTTCGCATATCTACCTAACACAACACGCTTACTTCAATACTAATCACCATGTTTTACCACTTAACACAGGAGATAGGGCACAGACACTTACGATTAAAACACCGGTAGTCTTTTCGTATCTCCCAGATTCAGTATTCACATCCCACAAACTAAGTAGACAACATCATTAGGACTATCTAAGTTGACTGGGCTCTCCCCTGATAAGTCCCTAAATTCAGTGACAGACTATTATATTAATACGTATATGATGAAATTAAACTTAAATAAGGACATAGTTGTAGAAATTAGCCTAGTATTACATCCTTCTTGGAGATACGAGTCCCCTCGTAGTTTAGTTCTAGCGTTAAGTAAATAGGATGTGATCAGTAGAATCCATGGAATTCACGAACTGAAGTACTATTTTTTCGAAAAACCTATGTCATGGTGCTCTTTTTGATCAAACTTGCGTACACGTATATCCTAGTACTTCTTCGCGTTTATTATTGTGTCCCAAAGTTGTGATTCCTCAACATCCACAACGTAGATCAAAAGGCACTTTAGGAGGAGTACGAGCGTATATTAACGCAGCAATCAAAATGCAAAACTCGAGTGAGCACAAAGGTATCAATTGTAACACGCAATATTTAGAGTGATAAACAAATCAAAGTCTAATTACATAGTGAAAGTACACTACAAAGATGAGTAATAAAATGGGTCACCACACCTAGTTAATTTTCCCTCAGCAAAGTGAGAGTTGGATTTGTGGTTTTGTGAACTCAATAAATTGTGAACTGCTGTCAATATAAATGATAAAAACCTTGGAATTACGAGTTACAATTTTAGCAACATTCAGCAATTGTTAAATGCCCACTTGACGAACATCAAAAAAGGCAAAGGAAGTGCTAAAGATTTAGTAGAACGTATACATTTTTGACTTCACTGTGAAGTCTTTATGCCAAATGTATTACTGTAGGGGCCCACATAGTTCACAAGTGTACTTATATTAATGACGTGGAGAAACTTCTATCCGTCCCTAGTGAACCTAACGTGGAGAGCCTTGTTTAGTGATTCCTGTTATTAACTTTCTTATGTTGAAGAGTGGAGCAAGGCATTTATAATATTTTACTACTTGTGTAGTTGCAGAGCAACTTATCCGTATTCCAACTGTAATAACGTTTCACGTATGAGCTTAAGTTATGTTTATGAAATAGGATAGTTATAGCAATTATACCTTCCTCCAAAATAAGGGCCACCTGGAAAACGCTTTCACAACAATGCTACACCGTTTGCTCATAGTGCTGATACTGTGTCTTAAAATGATAAGTGAATGCAAAGTGAAATTGATGCTATGAACGCCAACAACTACCAAACGGTTTGAGACAATAGCCTTTAATCAAATGGGCTGAATACACTAATATAATTTCATGAAAATTCAAAAATAAATGTTTAAATTTTGGAATTCCTATCTTGTTTAATCCATCACAAAGCACAGATATCAGCATCAAGTATTTTCTGATAGAAGTGCAGTAAATGTAATGAGCTTCAGGTACATTATGCCTCCGATGGTATGTGAGGCAGAAACGTATCCTAATGAGAAGTTTCAATTAAAAAGCATATAATAAGATATAAATTCTCACAACACCACCATATCACTGGATTGCGTTGCTACAATTAGAAGGGGTGTCAACGTAGTTGAAGATTGAACGATCAATTCATGGTTGTTTGCTCAAACCCAACTCATCCATATTTTTCGCGGGAGTCATCAATCTGACAGTCATCGTCTCATCGTTCACTGTTCAGTGGAAGATAGAAAACTATCAGAAGTATTATCGTGATTTATTGTGATAACATTTATTCTTAGACCTTGTGTGTGGTAACCTTATTGTTGGCTACATATTGGCGTAAGAATAAAGGATTCTCGAGTCGCCAATCTGTGTTCTGGTTTTTTCGCGTCAGTTATTACAAGCTGCTTCTGAAAGACTTCCAGGGACAGCGTGAGGCTGAGAGTAGAGAGAGCTGGATAGTGACAGTATCTCAGAGTTCCTCACAGTTTCTGATGGATTCTGTTCGTCTTCCGAGGAGCCAGCCAAGTCTTCTTTGAACAAGCGTTATCTAGTACATTTCTGGAATTCGGTCAAGTTCAATGATACCTGGGTAAAAGAGGGGACAGAGCGTCTTGGAAGCAAACAGGAAAGTACATAATGTTGAGTTGCCTGTTAATTATAATGATATCAATGATGCTCAGCATGATGAGTCTGTTGTTCATGTTTTGCCGTCTAGGGATAATAGGAATTTAAACTGCCTAAATATAAGCCTCGGTGTTTTGACGGAAACCCAGCTGACTATCCAGAGTTTGTAAAGGAGTTTGAGATCATGTTGAGTGGTCTTTATTAAATGATGAAATGAAGTTAATGTATTTGTTGGGGTACTGCACTGGAGCTGCTGTAAGAACTATACAGCGCTGTAAGGTTGTGCCCCCAAACCAAGGATATACTGAGGCGATGCGCATCCTGCGTCAAAGGTTTGGAAAACCTTCAATGATTGTAAGGAAAGTGTTTGAGGCTGCTAAAGGTAATGGTAGCCAATTACAAGATGACTCCAAGGCACTCTCTGAGTTTCTGGATAATCTGATGACTTACGAGAATACGTTGATTTCGATGAGTTGCATGAGCGATCTGAACTCAAGTTCAGTCCTAGAGGTGATAGCGAGACACCTACCTACTTGACTGCAAAGGAATTAGGTAAAGATAAGCTCTCGTATAGAAGATGAAGGTGTTGAGCCAAAGTTTGATGATATTCTGAAACTGGTAAAAGATAGCATCAATCAAGCTATGAGCAAGTTTGCCGGTATATTGCATCCCACCTCTGGAATAGAGCAGTCTGAGAGCAAAACGCAATCGTTTATGACGAAGGGGTCTCAGAGAAGTGGATATCGAGACAGCTTTATGGTGTCTAGTAATCCATTTAAACTTAGTGAGTGTAGCAGCCTTCGTGAGACATCCACAGCAGATAGGTTACAAGTTGCGAGACAAACACGGTTGTGTTTTACAAGTTTGCAAGAAGGCCACACAAAGGCGAACTGTGAATCAGTGACCAAGTTTAGTGGTAAGCTTAATGTGAAATCAGCGTCATCAGGGTCTGACTACGAATTGTGTGACGACAATGATGCAGTGGAGAAGCATGTAGTTGCAACTGGTAAGCCAGCGTTGAATGGAGTGTCACAGGCGACACTGCAGTTTGTGCGGGAGAAGAGAGTTACACTTTCAGAGTTCAGTTCTGACTCCAGAAGTTTACAAGGTATTACTAGTCAGAGTAAAGGTATAAAACCTCCAAGGATTCGTGAGGAAGAACCCAGATTGTCTACTGCTGTTATTAAAGAGTTCGCAAATGATGTTGATCATACAAATGTAAATAAAGTAGATATTTGTGATAATTACCATGATAGTGCACTTTTGTCTTTGGTTGATCATGATGAGATGAGTGGAATGCCTACTACTACTGAGTTGAATAAAGTTTCTGTACAAATCGAAGGTGAAGTAGATTAAAGAGCAGATGCAGTGGTAGAAGGTATGGTTACTCATGAGACCGTCAGTGTTAATGATCAGCGTGTAGCCCACCTATCAACAGATGTTAATGCTAAACTGGAGCTAATAGTAAAAGGCAGCAGTAGTGGTAATCTTGCAGCTAGACAAACTTCTAAAAGCCGAAAAACAACAGCTTCTGATGCACCGCTAAGTTTATCAACGTGTGTCATTCAGTTGTCGTCGGTGTTGTCATCCACAATGAAAGGGATATCCGTGAACTCAAGTTTCTTGTGGTATGACTAT